AGCCTGGTGTAGCGGCTAAGTGCGCGGACTCTAATCTGGGAGAACCAGGTTTGATTCCCCACTCCTCCACTTGCAGCTGCTGGATGACCTTGGGCGAGCCATAGTTCTGTCAGAGCTGTTCTCTCAAGGACAGTTCTGTCAGAGCTCTCTCAGCCCCACCGACCTCACAGGGTGTCTGTTGTGGGGAGAGGAAGGGAAAGGAGTCCGTAAGCCACTCTGAGACTCCGGGTGAAGGGCAGGGTATAAATCCAATCTCCTCATCATCTTTTTCCTGAGAAGTGTCAGGGAGCTCACATTTTGTTCCCTCTTTCTTGCTTTAGTGGTTGCAGGGAACCAGGGGTGGATTGGCCACTAAGGCCACCAGGAAAACTCCCAGTGGACTGGTGATGGCCACAGGCGTAAAGAGCTTGAGAAGGGGGGTTAGATAGATTCATGGAAGATAAGTCTATCAATGGCTACTAGCCAAGGTGACTGAGGGGAACATCCACATTCAGAGGCACAAAGTCTCTGAATCCCAGAGCCAGGAGGCAGCATCAGGGAAGGCCTCAGCCTCTGTGCCCTGCTGTTGGTCCTGCAGAGGAACTGGTTGGCCACTGTGTGAGACAGGATGCTGGGCTAGATGGACCACTGTTCTGATCCAGCAGGGCGCTTCTGATGTTCTTATGGCCTCGACGTCTCCTTGCCAGTTTGGTGTAGTGGTTCAAAGGGGTGGACTCTAATCTGGAGAACCAGGTTTGATTTCCCCAGTCCTCCACCTGAAGCCAGCTGGGTGACCTTGGGCCAGTCACAGCTCTTTCAGAGCGCTCTCAGCCCCACCTATCTCACAGAATGTCCGTTGTGGGAAGAGGAAGGGAAGACATTTTAAGTCCGCCACCTCCTTCCTAGGGCCATCCCAGTTTCAAGCAAGGGGTGGCTCTCACCCCATGCAGGGCAGGCAGGGCAGCATCCTCTGATGCCACAAGCCAGTGGCCTGAGCCTCATGCCAGGTGGCAAAGGGGGGCATGCAGCCCAGCCTGAGAACCGGGAAATGAGGCCCATGGCTGAGCCCCACGCAGCAAAGAAGACCCCCAACCAAGCTGCACAGAGCTAGCAGGGGAGGCTCTACCTCACCCCTCCTTCAGGGGGCTGGGGCCAGGCTGGAACCAGCGCCTGGCCAGTCCTGGACCATTTGTTCCTCCCAGTCTGAACCTGCAGGGAAGTCACGTCCTCTCTCCCTCTCAATTCACATCAACAGTATCTCCTGACTGCACGATCAAACCATGTATGTGCAATACTTGTCTTCCTGGTTTTTGGATTCCCTCCCCCTTCCCGTTGGGAGACCAATGGAAAAGGTCATGTTCTTCTACACATCTGGGGTTCCCCCCCAAAAAAAAAACCCACACAAAACCATGAGGGATCTTCCCTCCAGTTTACTCTGCTTTTGTTATCCACATGAGAACATAAGAACATAAGAGACGCCAAAGTTGGATCAGGCCAAAGGCCCATCTAGTCCAACACTCTGTCACACAGTGGCCAAAAATACCAGGTGCCATCAGGAGGTCCACCAGTGGGGCCAAGACATTAGAAGCCCTCCCACTGTTGACCCCCCCCAAGCACCAAGAAGACAGAGCATCACCTTTGATTCCTCCCCTCTCCCTCCACTTCTCTCAGTGTCTCCCCCCCCACTCTCTTTCTTCCTTATCTGAAGAAGTGAAGAAGTGACTCATGAAAGCTCATTTGTTGTTGTTCAGTCGCACAGTCGAGTCCGACTCTTCCCTCATTCCCTGCCACAAATTTTGTTTGTCTTTAAGGTGCTCCTGGACTCTCGCTTTTTTCTACTGCTTCAGACAGACTAAGAGGGCGACCCATCTTCATCTTTCTCCCCTATGTCTATCCTCACTCCTTTTCTCTTTCTGCCTCGCCCACCCCATCACATAAGAACGTCAGAAGAGCCCTGGTGGGTCAGCCCAGCAATCCATGTAGTCCAGCATCCTGCCTCACACAGTGGACTCAGCCTGATCCTCTGGACAGCCAGCAACAGGACATAGAGGCCATGGCCTTCATAAGAACATAAGAAGAGCCCTGCTGGGTCAGACCAGTGGTCCATCGAGCAGCATCCTGTCTCATGCAGTGGCCAACCAGTTCCCCTGGAGGGCCAAGAACAGGGCATGGAGGCCAAGGCCTTCCCCTGATGTTACCTCCTGGCTCTGGTAATCAGAGGCTTAGTGCCTCTGAACATGGAGGTTCCCTTTAGTCTCCAAGGCCAGTAGCCATTGACAGACGTCTCCTCCAGGAATCTATCTAATCCCCTTTTAAAGCTGTTTGTCACTCTCTTTATCTCACCTTCTGCCCTGTTCTGCATTACTGGCTTGCCCGGTCGTCTAGACTCTTAGCCGCTGTGGGGGGAGTGGAGTGGCTCGCATCCCCTCCCCAAGCAACTTCGCTGCCTTGGCAGCATTATCAGGAATGTGCTCAGCGCCCCCCCCCCCCCCCCCACCCCCTCCAGCTTTCCCCCCTTTGCCACCTGGGTGGCTCACCTGACCGCTGAGCCTTTTCACTGCCATGGTGGTTGCGGCTCACCTCCCCCCCCGGCCAGCTTTGCTACCTCAGCAGGCACAAGTTCTTTCAGAGCTGTTCTCTCAGGAGCAGTCCTCGAAAGAGCTCTCTCAGCCCCACCTACCTCACAGGGTATCTGTTGTGGGGAGGGGAAGGGAAAGGAGATTGTAAGCCACTCTGAGACTCCTTTGGGTAGTGAAGGGTGGGGTATGAATCCTATCTCCCCCTCCTCTTTTTCTCCTCCTCCTCACTGCATGGGTGGCTTGCCTGGCCTCTCACCACCATGGTGCCAGTGGCCCACTTGCTCCCCGTCATCTTGGCTGTCTTGGTGGTCTGTTCACCTGGTCTCTTGGCCTCCGTGGCTGGCCTTGGTGCTTCACAACTGAGGTGGCATCTTTTTGCTTGTCCAGTGGTGGTGGATGGCTCAAGCCCCCATCAGCCTTGGCGGCGGCAGCCCCTCACTTTCTGCCCCCCACGTCTCTTTGTTGCCTTGGACACTCACCTGGCTTCCAGCCCTGGGTCTGTACTGCCTCAATGGCAGGGCTAACTCCTTCCCCACCCAGCTGCAGCTTGGCCACCTCAGCGACCTGTTGGTTTGGGATAGAATTAAACCCCCAATGTATTTTTTTTTACATTTTCAAATTTTTCCGCAAACCTGGGGAGAGCCCCAAGTTTGCTGAAAGATCTGTTGAACCTCCATCTGGCCCTGATCTGCAGATATAGCTCTCCACAGATGGAGGCCTTGGGTGGCTGTTTGAATATAAGATGATGAAAATTCTTTGTCCATGAATTTCACTAATCCTTTTAAGAAGCCATCCCAAATAAAGTTAACAAGGGGCGGGACCCACAATACTCGCGGGAGGGGGGGGAGGGAGCTCCACACCTATGAGGAAGAGGAGGAAGCAGCAGGAGGAGGTAAGTTCCCCTCCATCCTGCCGGTTCCCCTCCGTCTCCTCCACCCCCCTCCACCCCCCATCTCGATCTCCCTCGGCGGCTTACAGCCGCCCGGGCCTTGCTGCCTGGCTCTGAAGCAGCGGCGGTGGCGAGACTGGGTGCAGAGCATTCCCTGCGCATGTGCAGGGGACGCTCTGTCACTTTGGGGGGATTTAAGTATCCCCCCGATATTTTTTTACAGGTTTCAGATTTTTGTGCACACCTGGGGACTGCTCCAAGTGTGCACAAACATCTCCCTCCCCCCCAGGGGCCACCGATGTGCGGAAATAAGTATCCGCACGCAGGGGGCGACTTCGGTATTAGATATGTAGATGAAGAAGAATTAGAATTAGAGGAGGAGGAGGAGGAGATTGCATTTATACCCAACCCTCCACTCAGAGCCTCAGAGCGGCTTACAATCTCCTTTCCCTTCCCCTCCCCACAACAGACACCCTGTGAGGTAGGTGGGGCTGAGAGAGCTCTATCAAGAACTGCCCTTGAGAGAACAGCTCTGACAGAACTATAGTTTGCCCAAGGCCATTCAGCAGCTGTGAGTGGAGGAGTGAGGAATCAAACTTGGTTCTCCCAGATGAGAGTCTGTGCACTTAACCACGACGCCAAACTGGCTTAGTTCCAGGGTACCCTGCACCACCCACCCCCACCCCATCTCCAGCTCTTTGGTAGCAGAGATGCCTTGAAAATCACAGGCAGAAAAACTGGAGATTACCTCTCAAAACTCTGAGGAACCTACAAGATGTGTCAACTCCATTTCACTCATTCCTGGTAGGATGGCTGAGACAGAACTCCAGCAGTGGGGTGGGGGGTGAACTGGCCGCAAGCGATTTTTTTCCCCCATGCAGAAGGCAAAACTTCCACAAACAGCCATCCCTTTTCCAATACAGGCTGGCAATTCCTGTGTTCCATGGATCGCCTAAGAAGTCCTGGTGATAAATGTTCTCCGTTCCCTGGTAATAAAGAATAGATAGCAGCTGGCCTCCAAGCCAACCCATGTCTTTTTTGTTTGGGTTTTGGAGGAGGGACTAATGGCAAATATTTGAGTCCCTGTTCAGTCCTTGCCAACGGATGGGCGGAGAGATGGGGGTTATATTTGATGGCAGAAGCATGTTGTTTGTAATGGCGGCACGGTCCTATAGGCAGTGTGGTATAGTGGATCAAGTGCTGGATTTGCACTGGTGAGGCCTGAGTTCAAATCCCTGCTGCTCCTTGGAGCTCACTGGCTGGGTGCCACCTGTCAACTTAACCTAGCGGGTTAAAAATGGGTTAACCCGATGTATGCAGCCCTGAGCATGACAGATAAGTCATATAGCTTGACCAACGGGAAGGGAGGGGGACGTCTCGCCACCCTGAACCCCTCATCTCTTATACCTCACCTGCTGTGCTGTATTCCAAGTTGGCCCTCATGCACCCATCTGCGTTTGCCATTGGCCTTCTTGCGGTGTTCATTTCCATGCGCTGTCAGCCTCTGATGTTCCATGTTGATCATGCTCAAATCCCCCCCCCCGTTTTTGCAGCATTAGAGAAGAAGACAGCTGCCAGGCAAGGTCGGGACGAGCTAATTAAGAAAGGCCTCCTGGAGATGATGGAACAAGGCAAGTGGATGACCATCTTCGTGTTTTATTCCCCCAGTCCTTTCCGGAAGAACCCGGAAGCCATTCCGAACAAGCAAACAGCATGGAGCCAGTTCAGGGAGGTAGCGGAGGACCCTGTTCAGTCCTTCCTTTTCCTTCAGTGGCTGGACTCTGATAAGGCATGGATTTAGATCCAGTGGGACCCATCGCAGCACTGGAAAAGGACAGAAGGAGCCCTCCCTTTCAACCACATGTTGGATGCCCCCCCTTTTTCGTCCAACTCATTTGTAATTCTCTTTAAGAACATAAGAGATGCCAATGTTGGCTCAGGCCAAAGGCCCATCCAGTCCAACACTCTGTATCACACAGTGGCCAGAAATACCAGGTGCCATCAGGAGGTCCACCAGTGGGGCCAGGACATTAGAAGCCCTCCCACTGTTGGCCCCCCCAAGCACCAAGAAGACAGAGCATCACTTGCCCCAGAGCCCCTATCTATACCTTGTGGCTAATAGCCACTGATGGACCTCTGCTCCATATGCTTATCTAATTCCCTCTTGAAGCCGTCCATGCTTGTAGCTGCCACCACCTCCTGTGGCAGTGAATTCCATGTGTAAATCACTCTTTGGGTGAAGAAGTACTTCCTTTTATCCATTCTAACCCGACCGCTCAGCAATTTCATGGAGTGCCCACGAGTTCTTGCATTGTGAGAAAGGGAGAAAAGTACCTCTTTCTCTACCTGCTCTTTCCCATGCATAATCTTATAAACCTCTTATAAACCTTTCCTTTGTGTACACAAAATACATCTCACTAGGCTTGCAAAAATGGCTGCTCTGGATGGTGGGTTCCATGGCATTGCACTAGGGTTGCCAGCCTCCAGGTGGAAAATACAAAAACTGAGGGTCACAGTGTTAGGAAGAGATGCAAAAGTATATAGCGCCATGTATAATAGATGTGTGTTCAGGGTAAATCGATTTTGTGCTTTTTCTTTTTTTCTTTCTTTTTCTCCTTTTCTATACTGTTATATAAGTATTGGTATCAGCTACTATCAAAAACAGGTTTCACCCAAACAAAACATCAAAGTGCAGGTTTACATTCTGTTCAAATGTTCAGGAAGCACCTTGTCAGTATCACAATCACTAGTCCCACGGGACTCTAGTAATTTAGCTGTTTCGAATACAGTCTTTTTCAAGGACTGTGGTGTATATAAAGGACATAAGGCACAATAATTTCTCTTTGTGAGCACAAAAACTCTTACGATAGCAGCATATTTTCTAGGGTTCCATCGGCACCCTTGCGGCAGGCATAATAACCTATCTAGGATAGCATATCTCTCAAGTTCAAAATTGATTTACCTTGAACGTACATCAAATATACAAAGTGCTATATACTTTTGTAGTATTACAGCTGATCTCCTATCAATAGAGATCAAGGGTTACCAGGTCCAACCTCGTCACGTCGCTGATGTTGGGGGGGGTGACACTCTAGTTTTTAGGCAAAACTCTTACAGCTGATCTCCTATCAATAGAGATCAAGGGTTACCAGGTCCAACCTCGTCACGTCGCTGATGTTGGGGGGGGGTGACTCTCTAGTTTTTAGGCAAAACTCTATGGTTTGTAGGTGATTTTACCATAGAGTTTTGCCCAAAAAACTACAGTGTCGCTGCACGACATCAGCAACGTGAGGACATCACTTTCAGGTGACATCATCACACCACCTTTCAGGCCATTCGGGGCAGGGATTTCCCCCTGCCAGTCAGCTGGTCAGCAGTGCGAAAGCACCCCACAAAAGTGGGGGTTCCCCCGACTGGCAACCCTATGGAGAGCAGTTCCCCTGGAGAAAATGGCTTCTTTGGAGGGTGTACTCTATAGCATTATACCACACAGAGATCCCTATGCTCCCCAAACCCCACCCTCCCTAGGCTCCACCCCCAAAACCTCCAGGAATTTCCCAACCTGGAGTTAGCACCCTTTACATGCCATGCTTACAGGTTCAGGCATTGCCTTTCTGCCCTGTTAACTCATGCCAACATGTGTGTGTGTGTGGGGGTGTTTCATAGCCATTCTGCTTCTCTACTTTGCATGTTGCCGGCATTTTAATTTACACCACAGCTGCCAAAAAGCATACAACCCACCTGCTCTGCAGCCTTTCTAAATGAGTCAAGAATAGGCAGCAGTGTAGTGTTCTGTCCTCTGTCCAGTCTGGTGTAGTGGTTAAGAGCGGTGAACTCTAATCTGGGAGAACTGGGTTTGATTCCCTACTCCTCCACTTGCAGCCAGCTAGGTGAACTTCAGTCAGTTACAAGTTCTTTCAGAGCTGTTCTCTCAGGAGCATTTTCTGTCAGAGCTTTCTCAGCCCCAACTACCTCACAGGGTGTCTGTTGTGGGGAGGGCAAGGGAAAGGAGATTGTAAGATGCTCTGAAACTTCTTCAGGTAGTGAAGGGTGGGGTATAAATCCAATCTCTTCTCTTCTTCTTCTTCTCAAAGAGGAATGCTAACCTAAGCATGGCACAAATTCCCAAGGTGGCTGAAACTTAACTTTAGAACTTCCTTAGCCTTTTGGTTGATCCGGTTCTTGCTCAACAGTTGAAAAAGCTGGCTGGGGAGGCTTTGGTATGTTTCCCATTTATGATAAGAACATAAGAGAAGCCAATGTTGGATCAGGCCAATGGCCCATCCAGTCCAACACTCTGTCACACAGTGACCAAAAATACCAGGTGCCATCAGGATGTCCAGCAGTGGGGCCAGGACACTAAACATTCTCCCACTGTCCCCCCCCCAAGTACCAAGAATACAGAGCATCACTTGCCCCAGACTGAGAATTCCTATCTATACCTTGTGGCTAATGGCCACTGATGGACCTCTACTCCATATGTTTAATTCTTCAACCTGTACATGCTTGTAGCCGCCGCCATCTCCTGTGGCAGTGGATTCCTTGATCATGGGTATTTTCCGTCCAGTGGTTCTTCCTTCTGGCTCCTTCCCATTGTTGTCATTTGCACAGCTGCATAGGCCTTCTAGAACTCCATCTGGCATGTAGAGCTTAGAAGATGCAAACAGCAAATTTATGCATGGGTCAGCATACTGTTAGCCGAATTGCTTTATCTACAGCAATTGGCAAATTTTAAACTGGGTGCTTGCCAACTATACCAAGGTCCTGTTCCCACCAAGGGTTACCAGAGAAGGAGTCGAGGCTGGTGTTGTTAAAAATAACTGTCTTTTACTTAAAGAATATAAATCACATACAAACAATACTGATGTGTTCACACATTCAATCAAGCTCCTTAGAACTACAGTATTAAAATAAGCATGTTTGCATTAGCAGGTGGGGATGATGATGGGTGATACTTATCTGTCTTCGCAGCGTTGGTTGTTCCAATGAAGAATAGAGGGGAAGAAATGGAAAACTAAAGGGATCCACACTACCAGAGCTTAGCAGGACTGTGTGAGGGTCTCTTGACTGCAGACCAAGAGATCAAAGTAGAGGCAAGGGTTTGGGGATAGCAAGCTGGACAAAAGGAGAGTATAAAGCAGACAGGGGTTGTTGCGAGGGAGATGCTAGTTGATCAAGTAGGAGAGAGAGAGACCATGTGACTGGTTCTCTTCTTTTATCGGGGTCCCAGGAGGTGGGTGTTGACGATACCAACCTCCTGGCCCACCTCCCTGTTAGTCCGTCCCAAAAACAATCCTATTGGTTACCTATAGGAGTGGGAGGTTGCCTATAAGGAGTGGTCAATATTGAAATCTAAAACCTTACTCAAGGAAGACATCTGGGCAGGTGTGAAACCTTGGCGTCAGGATGTTTAATTGAAGTGCTGATCAAGGCTGGCCATCCTATTGTAAACCAAATGTCCATTTGGCAGGAAATACCAATGTAGAACAAAGCAACTAGATCTGCAATGGGGGCTGTCTCTTCTCAAAGCTGTTGTTTCTTACTGCTCACAATAATGGAGGTGTGTGCTCCTTCACCAGGCTGTCAACTGTGTAACTGAAACCTCATTCACATGTAATGCTTGTGTAGGCACCTTCTATGTGTTGCATCACAACAGGTGACTTGAAATGTACAGTTCTCTGAGCCCGTGTGTGTGTGTGTGCACAGTGCATTGTGTGTGTAGCAGCAAATATAGTTCATAGAGCAAAATATCAAGTTCATTCTCTAACAATACAGCATTTTGTGTTTTTTTACAAAGCCTGAATTTTGTGCTCAGCAAGGTGACTTTACAAGGAGCGGGCCCAGATCCTGAGCACCAACCTCTAGTTTGGTGTAGTTGGTTAGGAGTGCAAGCTGTAATCTGGGAGAACCGGGTTTGATTCCTCATTCCTCCACATGCAGCTGTGTCCTCAAAAGAGCTCTCTCAGCCCCTCATGAATTTCATTGAGTGCCCACGAGTTCTTGTATTGTGAGAAAGAGGGGAAAGTACTTTTTTCTCTACCTGCTCCATCCCATGCATAATTTTGTAAACCTCTATCACCCCTCCGTCCTCATTTCTCCAAGCTAAAGAGCCCCAAACGCTTTAACCTTTCTCAGGGCTTTTTTTGTAGAAAAAGCCCAGCAGGAACTCATTAGCATAACAGGCCACACCCAACAGCAGAAACTCATTAGCATAGTAGGCCACACCCTGACAGCACAGCACATTAGCATATTAGGCCACACCCCCATGTCACCAGAAGTGTTGTCATCCAGCCACACCCACCTTTTGCTTCTTATTCTGTTTACCTTGTTTGTAGTCAAAACCCAGGGCTGTTTTTGTAGCAGGAACCCTTTGCATGTTAGACCACACACCCCGAATGTAGCCAATCCTAATGAGTTTCTGCTGTTAGGTGTGCCCTATTATGCTAATGAGTTCCTGCTGGGCGTGGCCAACTTGGGAGCCATGGATCCACAAGGGTTAAGCTGACACTAAATATTATGAAAATACAAAATTTATTCAGGTGTACACATTTTAAAACTTAGATTCATTAAAACTTAGATTCATTAAAAGCCTTTTGGGACCCCCCCCCCCGTTCACTGCAGTGGCACTCCG